AGCCTTGCCCAACGGAGCTAGTAAATGTACTGTGCGTGGCCCAACAGCCGCGTCTCCGATGTCCGTGGCTCCCTCCGTCTTCTTTGGCCAGGAAATGCCCTGACTCGTATGCCAATACGTTGGTGTTCGACCTGCGGTGCGCATGCGAACAAAGCCATCCTCCACCACGCGCTCGAAGAGCGGGGCCTCTCTGATTTGCAATCCAAGCCCCAAGCCACGCCCAGCAGGTGCCACATCATCAGGTAGTTGTGGACCACTGCCCATGAGAAGCGCGATCAGCTCGAGGGGGGCTGACCATGGAGGGGCGGCTCGCCGCTTTGCTGCTCGTCCCAGCTGCCGTCGAACTCTGTTGAAATCTCCTTTTGCTGCTTTGCGATGTGATTCGCCCAGAACTGCCATTGCTGTCATACCTGTGCGCTGTCCTCTCCATTCATGCCAATCATGAAGAAGCTGCGTTCCCATGCCACCTTGGTGCCCAGGTAAACTCCACTGTCGCATCCACTGTGTGCTGCTCAAACCGGCCGTGTGCACCGCACGATGATATCTTCGCTTCGTGCCGTACTTTGTTCCAGCTGCTCTACGTGACAATCGATGTACCTCAGCGTGCTGTTGTTTGTTCCATGTTTCCCACAGAGAGTCCAGCGCTCGCTCCTGAAAGCGGAGCCATTCACGATGCCGATACTCTTTCATTCGCTGAAATAGTGCTTTCAGCTCGAAATCTGGGTCATTTTTATCCTGATCACTCATGTCCGTATCAAACTTGGACCGCTTCTCCATGCGATGCTTTAAAAGAAAGTATATGCGTTCTCGTCTCTGTTGGTACTCAGGATCGTCATACAAAGACTGACGTGTAAACAACTCTTCGCCCACCGTGATCATCAAATGCTCCGGGTACTCGAACAGCGGGTCAGGCGAAGCCTGATGTATTAGACTTATAACTTCATCCGCATTCTGCTCAAGATGCTGTTCTACCTGCGTGATGAACAGTTCCCCTTCTTCGCTGCCTGAGAGAGATAATGCCTGCATCAGTTTGTCGCGGTCCCATCTAATACCTTTGGTACCCTAAAAGGCGCGCGCGCCTGGTAGCCGAAACTCCACGTGTAAAGGAACGTGATCCCGCCGAAATTTGCTAGGAATTTTCTGTATACGTCTGCCCAATCGGAGGAGTGTGCAGCTGGTCCGTGTAGATTGTGCCAGCGCCTGTGGTATGGCCATGTAGTCCACTATAGACGAGGCGACATCAGTGCCATACCAGGTGGGGGTATCACTTTGCGTCGTGGGGGCGCACAGATAATGCTTCTCCATGAGTTCGCGAAATATTTTTTCCAGCTGCATGCTCACGACGTGCTCCCGCGGGTAATACTGCAGAAGTGTCCAAGAAAAATTCGCCCCCCCGCGCTGCGTCGTAATCTTTGCCGAGCCCGTCGTTCAGGTCCACTCCAAGCATGGGTACACTGCGTGACGGCGTTGAGCTGATAACAATATCAGGCCAATCTGTGAGAGCTGCGACCGTCCTGTCGTAAACCTGCATCGCTTTCACTGCTGTGGGTCGTGGCGGGTAGCACGCGCCAATCACCGTGAAGTCCCACGAGCTGGACGAAACTCTCACGGCAAGCCCTCTTCCTGCGAGATGTGCTGGGGGTACTTGTACTCTGCGCAAATGTTTCTGTCTGACTTTGGCTCCGAAAGATATAAGGACGCCTGTGGATTTGTTGGTCATGGAACCAGCGGACCACCCCGCGTCAATACGCCACCTGCTGCCACTACGAGATTGTTCCATTCTCTCCTTGGTTCTCCTTTGTGTGCCCACGAGCGTGATCGCGTCGAAGTTAGAACATGCTAATTCAATCTCTTCCAAACGATCCCCCGCTGTGGCCGCGAGGGGGTTGAAGTGCATCATGCGCCAGACGTGCGACTGCGACTCCAGGGCGTGTGCCTGCTCTCCGCATGTGGAGGTTAGAGCCGCCAGCAGTCCGCCTGTCGCCCTCATCAGGCAGTGGCCGTTCTGGGCCGTCTCAACTGCGGGTGCCTGCAGGACGAGGGGGTGCTCCGATGGGACGGCGCCTGTCGCCAAACCTGCGCTCGTGCCATATGGGCGACTATCATCATCATCATCTTCATCATCATCAGCATCATCGTCATCATCATCATCATCATCATCAGGAGATTCCCCACCCGTCCTTTTACACAGAACTCTCATAAATGTCATCCGCATGTGGTGACCTTGCAAACAGCACAATTCTGAGAACACGCCGGCGTGAGACACACAACAACGCACTTTACAGATCCGTGCCGTCAATACAATTGCTTGCGGCCCGCCAAAAGCCAGGGCGGGTAGGTCGTGTACCAGTTCAGACAGGGAGGGAGGCTTGAGCGAAACGTATACGGACTCTGTGTATTCATCCCCTGCACGTTCTGAGGACAAGTCGGAGATTCCCCACCCGTCCTTTTACACAGAACTCTCATATATGTCATCCGCATGTGGTGACCTTGCAGACAGCACAATTCTGAGAACACGCCGGCGTGAGACACACAACAACGCGCTTTACAGATCCGTGCCGACATTCGAGGCACCAAAAGTCGCTATCGGTTCTCTGCCGTCAGCGCGGCTCGGGGTCTTCCACGCGGAAGGGGTGCAGGCGGATGGTTTGCCGAAAGACTCGATCGAATGCAGCATCTTGAAACACATCGGCCATTCGATTCGCAAGCACGTGAGGGTAAGCTGCGGCGCGAGCGGTCCAGTGAATGCCCAGGCCGTCTCGGCCCTGGAGAATCTGGCGTTTCTTTCCAGAGAACGAGCAGATGCCACGGACAGCTTTACAACGCTTACACAATTCGTCGGCTCTCGGCAGCAGGATGCATCTCAGCCTAGTGGGTTTACACCACGGCGTGCCCCAACCGCAATAGTTAGTTATACTATCGCGGACCCCGGGCCAGCGAAAAATCTGAACGGCAGCATCCACTTTCCACATGTAGGATGACTGAGGATTCTCCCACAAAAAAGGAACCCGCATCTGTTTACAGCACTTAAAGATCTTACAGGACACCTGAAACAGTTTGTTGCCCTCGTCTACCAGGCATTGCAAATGAGGAGGGAGCGAGGGGAGGCCAGAGGGAGCTTGCGACGATCTCATTGCATTATGGCCTCCTCGGGCAATGGAGAACGATTTACATGGCACGCCAGCTAGCACACCGAGACATCTGTCGGACTTGATCATCCGCATGATGCGCTTCAAGGCGGCGGGCCTCAGGAGGTCACCTTGGGGCCCTTGTAGCACATCAAATGAGTACACTCTGAAACCACGACGGCGCAGCGAATTCGAGAAATGTTCCGAGCCCGAGAAGATTTCTATGTAGAAATACTCGTGTCTCTTGGCGCGGGGATCGCTCAAGCGTTGACGGATAGCGAGGCGGCGCCGAGCAGCGAGGGCAGCTCGGCCTCGGCCTGGAGGCAGTAGGTCTTGGCCGAGGGCTCCATCTCGCTCCACACCGCCTGGATGAGCCCGCGCTTCTCGTAGCGCCTGACCGAGCTCGGCTGGCGCCACCTGCCGCGCCGCTGGACCTCCTGCAACGAGATCCTCCCCGTGAAGCGGTCGATGGACGCGCCGCTGTGCCGGGCCGTGTAGAGCACGGGCAGCTGCTTGTCCAAGCCCAGCGCGCGCGTCGCGCGCTCGAACACGTCCTTGGCCTCTGTCATGGTGAACGTCCACAGGGAGGCGCTGGGCGGGCCCTGGGCTAGCCGAACCAGAAGGCTGCCCAGCCATGGACGTGCCACGCCCACTGTCTCGTCCATCTCGCCAGTCTTGCTCGGTCTCTTCATGTAGTCGGGGTTGATGTGGATCGTCACCTTGGGCATGTGCGCCTGCGGCGGGATCACCTGGCCGCAGGTCAGGCGGAACGCCTCGCCAGGCCTCAGGTACGTGTCCACCATCAGGAGCCAGAACACCGCGAGGTCGGGGCGGCCGCTGATCCGCCAGATCTGGCGCGCCACGCCCATGCAAGCCGCCCAGGGCAGCGGGCGCCGCGTCCGCGACGGCCGCAGCAGGCGCCAACCTCGCAGCGCGCGGTAGGCGCGCGGCAGGGCCAGCTTCCCCTTGCTCTGGTAGTCGGGCACGTGCATGAAGATGGCGGCGAGCAGCTTCTCGCCCGTCGACGCGACCTTCCCCTCGAGGTACAGCTCGTCGAAGAACCTCACCACGGCGGCGTCCGTGTCGGCAGCAGGCGCAGCCAGAGATGTCAGGCGACTGCGACTGAGGAACAGCTCGAGCAGCCGCGCGTACTGCAGTCGGCTCCGCCGTCCCACCGCGGCAGCCTCGGTGATAGAGAGCTGGCGGGTGGTGTCCCGCGCCTGCTCCCCAGCGTCCAGGCGGCGCTGCACAGAGCGCGGCAGCTCCCGCAGGGGGGTGCTGCGCGGGGCCGCCAGCACCACCGACGGGCGTCGAGTCAGAGCCTCGCGGCGGCGCAGGGCGGGCGAGCCCAGGGGGCGGCCCGAGCTGCAACGCGCCGGAGCCCGATCCGCCGAGGGCCGCAGAGGGGCCTGCGCTGTCGGGCCGCCCCCAGGCGCGCTGCGCTTCAGCCGCCTGGTCGGCGGCGGCGCCGCGAGGCCGCGGGGCCGCAGCGGGCGCGCGGCTGCCGGCGGCGGGGCTGCCGAGGCGGCCGAGTCCCGGCGGGCCCGCGGGGGCCGCGGGCCAGCCGCTGCCGAGCCGACTGTCGCCCTCGGGGCCCCGCGCCGAGCCGCGCGGTGCCGGAGCTGACGCCCGCGCGCCGCGGTAGCGCGCCAGCCGGCCCCAGATGCAGCGCGCCCTGCAGCACCCTCGCGGGAGCGGCTGCCACCGTCGGCCGCATTGAACTCGCTGGGCACCCATCGTCGATGTATGCGGGCCCCCGAGGCGAGAGTCAAGGCGGCGCCTCGCCGCAAGATATTGAGCAGAAATATATCACGACAACGTCCTTTAGATTGTGCAAGTGTGAGTGCTAGATTGTCCCCCAAGACGAGGTGCCTCTTCCCCCAGGAGTCCGCGTCCGACAGGATCAGCTTCACGGCGTGTAAGTCACCCCTTGCCTCCTTACGATGCATGAGCTCCTTGCCGAAGAGTGGTGAATAGTGCATGGTCGACCAGCTGGTGCGGCGGATGGTGTGCGTAGACACTTCAGGGAAACTTTTGTTGGCGAGACCCTGGCGCAACAGAACAGACGGGTGCGCATCGAGCTCGGCGACCTCGGCCGCACGTGCCGCGCGGTCGCGCGGCCGCCAACCCCGTCCGCCTCACGCGTGTGGCGGAACCGCCACCGCTCGTGCCAGCGACCAGCACTCTGAACCTCGGAAAGGTCCCACTCGCCCTCGACAGAGGCGTGGCCCGTCTCGCAGGCGTCAGTCATGACGACCTTGGTGGACCACTCGGCGTCGAGGTCCGAGACGAGCGTGACCAGCAAGCCGCGGAAGATCCTGAACTCGCGCCGCGCCGACGCCCAGAGGGGCCTGGCGCGCTGGTAATTCTGCTGGACGAACACAGCGCGGCGAACGCGCAGTGGCCGATGACGTGCTCGACGTCGCGGCTGGTGACGCGGGGCCGGCGCTGCCCCAAGTAGCCGAGCCCCATGCACAGCTTCCAGAACCGCCGCGGCGCCAAGGTGGCGCGGGCAGGCGATCCCTGCAGCTGCCCGCCGAGCATGGCCATGCTCTCGGCGGCGTCGGTCTCGTCATGGACGGCCAGGCCGGAGCCCTCCAGCGCCTTGGAGGCCTCGCGCCTGACCTTGGTCACGGCCTCGCGGTCGGTGCCAGCCACGAGCACGTTGTCGACGCACAGCGAGTGGATGGGCTCCTCGAGCGGGCTGGGGACCGGCACGAAGTCGACCGCCCGCCGCTCGGGCCTCAGGGCGTCGTGCTGGTCCAGCGTCCGCTCGTGAGCCTTCTGAACGAAGATGAGTGCCCAGCTCCACCCCATGGGAACAACGGCAAGTTGTGGGCAAAGGCAGGCCCAGGGCGGGACACGCCGCCCGTCAAGCCTGCCGATGCCGAGCTCGCCCGCGGTGACCTTCGGCAAGCAGAAGTACGACCGCAGGTAGGCCGGCAGCTTGTGTTGGTAGAACGCGTTCTGGACGTCCACCCCCGCGTAGTAGAGGGGCGTGTCCTTCGGCACCTCGAGGTCCGCGAACCCCGCGGCGGAGAACAGGCTGACCGACGGAGGAGGCTGAAACCGCTGGTTGCTACGCCTGCAGCCCAGCACCATCCTGATCCGCTCGTCCTTCTTAGCCACGAAGAAGGCGGAGACGTCCTCGGCCCTCTCTTTCCCTAAGACGAAGACGCCCCGCGAGATGCCAGACTGGATGAATTCAAGGTAGAGCGGCCTGTTCCGCTCCAGCACAGGGCCCATGTACCACGTGGGCCTCCCCTCTGTCTCCACGGCCTCGTCGAAGCTCGGTGGCGGCAGCAGCAAAGCATGGTCGAGGTCCAAGAGAGAGCATCGTTCGCTTGTCCCCAGCCGATCCGCGAGCCACTGAGGCTCGTTTCCCAACTCGGGCCAGCTCACGAGGTGCGGAGCGTAGGGCCTCAGCGGCGAGTCATTGGCCGTGTCGCAGTGCAGACACGGGCGGCCCGAAAGCTCTGAGCAGGCTTCCTGTGCCGACGTGCTCGGAGGGGCAGCCATATCACGATACAACCCTCGAACACGCCGATGCAGCAGATCATCCAGATGTGAGAGGCGCTCTGGCGCGACCCGCGGTGTGGCGTAGCCCCCAAGCAGGTTGAGGCACTCCACGGTGTCCCGAGTACGCTCCTCGATCAACTGGGCGCGGGAAAGGCGAGCCCGAACCGAACGGGAAAGTCCAGGCGGTGGAGGTGAAGCAATCGGCGACGCAGACACGGCAAAAGGCAGCATGTCATCGCCAGGAGGTTGGACATCAGCAGGTCCACAAAACTGGCTCTCGAAATGCGGCGATCGGGTCGAGCCACCCCCCGATCGCTGACCCCAGGTCACCCCTTGTCCTTCCTGCCCGACTGGGCAGATTTCTCCTCGCGCGCCTTGCGCCTCTGCTTCTGGATCTCCGTCTCCTTGGCGAGCTGGTCGGTGGCGTACTTGGCGACCCCCGGCGCCACCGCGACGCCACCGCGGGCGCTCTGCTTTTGGCGGCCGATGTAGTGCTCGACGCCCTCGATCTTCATGCTCCCCATGGTCTCCTCGATCAGCTGGTAGGCCCGCGAGACCACCTCCATGCTGGCGAGGTTGGAGCCGTCGACCTGGTCGTAGGTGACGGCCATCTCGATGGCGAAGCCGAGCACGTCGTGGATGTGCGCGGCCGCCGAATCCTTGGTGCAGCCGCTCTCCATCATCCACTTGGTGCGGCGGCCGTCGGGGGTGCCGCCGTGGTCGACGATGTAGTCGCACAGCCACTTGAAACTGCGCTCCCCGACGAGCGGGAAGTCGTCATGCTGCTCCTGCCTCATGGACGACACCGCCTCGCGAAAGTCGCGGTGCCTACGGCCCTCCCGCGCGCGCTGGAGAGGGCCGAGGAGGCGGGCGTCGTCGTCAGCTACCTTGTCCAACACCTCGACAGGCAGCGGGGCAGGGTGGAGCTCGATCGGCACGACGAAACCGCCCGCCGTGCTGTAGAGCCCGCTCTCGCCCCAGACCACGTCACCCGCCTTCGGGACGACCTCGTCGAACTGCTGGCACTCGTTCGGGACCGTCTTCATCACAAACCATGCAGACCCAGGCGGCGCGGCCCGCTCGTCAGTGAGCACCACCGCGCCAGGGCCGTCCCTCGGGGTCGGAGCGCCCCCGACCTCGCCGTCGGCGAGCGCCCCTGGCTCAGCGCCCGCGGCGTCCAGCGGGGGCGGGGCCACAGGCGGGCCACGAGGCGGGCCGCGCGGCACGGCAGCGGACGGGCCCTTGCCCCGCGTGCGGCGCAAGAAGCCTGGCACGTCGTTGAAGCTGACCGTCATGCTCTTGGTGGGCTGGCCGCCGTCGCGCATGAAGGCGGCCGGCTCGGACTCGCGCAAGCCGGCGTTGCGGGCGGCCAGGCGAGCGTCCCGAAAGAGGTCGATCATGTCCTCCTCGGCGGGATATTCACGAAACCTGTAGACTCGCCCCGGGGGCGAACAGCAGCGGGAGTCGCCCCCATCGTGAGGGAAACGCGGCTCGGCCCGTCGCCATCGGGCCCTGCCGCCATCTCTTCAGGGTACACGTCGCCGTCAGGCGTGAGGCAAGTCCAGCATGTGTTGGGGAAGGCGCCAGGGGACGGCCACAACAGCAACCGTTCGTGCCATATGTTCGGGTCGTCCTCATAGTAGAAGCACACGACCCGCCCTGGCACCAGCTCATTGAAGAACTCCTCTGCCAGGGCGGCGGTCCCGTCGCTCAGGAAGAGGCTCAGGTTCGCGGGCAGGAGGGCCATCGCGGCGACGCCAGGCGGCGAGGCAAGCGCCACACTGCGTCAGCGCCGCGGTCAGCACCACTCCGAGCGCGTGCCACAGGAGCGTGTCGGGCTCCTCGGGCAGCTCGGCCGGCGCGGCCTGCAGGGCGCGGAGCTCGGCCAGCTCCGCGGACAGGTTGGCCAGCGCGACCTGCACCTCGTCCAGCGCGGCGTGGCACTGGCTGAGGTTGGCCGCGTGCGCCGCGGCGAGCTGGGCCCCGCGCTCGGCAGCCCGCTGGGCAGCGAGGGCCGCCCGACTGTCCCAGTCGTCGGGCGGACCGCCTCCGCCGCCCGCGCGCAGCAAGCCTGGCTGCCACGCGTCCAGAGCACACCAGATGCAGACCAGCAACCAGGATGGCGGCCGGAGAGCGAGAGGGCGCATACGTGTCAGGTGCTCCCTGAGGCGAAAAAGGCTTGAGCGAAACGTATACGGACTCTGTGTATTCATCTCCTGCACGTTCTGAGGACAAGTCTCCGAGCCTCCTGCATCGGAGGCCTCAAGATCAAGGATGGGAAGCTGGCCTCCACCCCCTCCCCCTCCTCGGACAGGGTCCTCCCAAAGGACCGGGGCACCCCCGCACCTCCGCCCGCGGCGTGCGCGGGGGCGCGACGGTGCGGCGGCGCGGGCTGGGTACGCCCGATGGCGCTGCGTAAACCAAGCAGCAGGAAGGCGAAGGCGAAGGAGGAGGAGGAGGTGGAGGAGGAGGAGGGAGATGCAAGGTGGAGGGTGAAGAGGAGAAGGAGGAGTAGGAGGAAGCGGTGGATACTACAAGCAGTACATCGACGCCGTCAAGAACAATGTCGCCCACACGAACATCGACCAACTAGGGGACTCTCCATATCGGGAACCCGCAGGGCAGAACGTACGTCGTACACATCACGAATAACCAGAGCGACGACATGCTGACCCTGGAGGGCATTACCAGGAACATCACAGAGATCCAGGCCGCGAATCCACCAGGGGCCGCCAGACCTACGCGCGCGAGCCCACCCGACCAGATCCTCACCCTGCCGATCCCCCAGAAACCCCCACGTACGACGCAACAACAGCAAGCCGACCACGACGTCGTCCAACGAGACATTTACGAGCCGGGCCGCCAAGCTGAAGGCACATGATGTTCCTGCTCCTCCTCATCTTCTTCCTGATGGCCCGCAACTTCGCATTGATGCCATACGACATCCAGCAGGTGCAGCCGGCCTACGCATACACCTCGGGGGAAGTTCTGCTGCAGAGCCCGCTCTGGCACCTGCTCTACGTCCGGGCGCTGGTTCACCCTCGCCGTGTGGACGTAGAAATGTCTGACCGGCGCGCCGCTGGCACCAGCTCCGTCTTTGATGTCGGGCGCGCTGCGAGCTGATTCGGCTGATGGCACGAGTGCTCACACTCTGGTGAGATCTCTTGCAGCGTCATCTGTTCTAGCCTCAGATAGTTCACAGTCTCGGGCGGATGCGAAAGGCGCTTCGGCAAGGAAACCTTCCATTGGCCGTGGTGAAGGTGCCGGCGGTTCAAAGGTCAGCTGGCCTCAGCCTTGCGCCGGACAGAAAAGAAAATAGCATGTTTCCTCCTCTGCTTCCGCGGTGGTTTTATTCTGTCGCTTTCACATGTGCTCCGGTATGCCAGTTGAGTGGCTGCATACTTCGAGCAGTTCTGCACTCCTGTACTCCAGGCTCCTGAGGCAGAGCAACAAACTTCTGAGGTGTCCCTTCTTACCTCTTCGGCTTCTCGTTCCGCACGTGAGCCCATCTTAGGCCGCGATTGCTGCACCAGGCCTTAAGCAGCCTAACTCGTTTTGCTTCGTAGAGGACTGGTAACCCCTAGTCAGCTTCCTTTCACGACTTTGTCCATCTGGTTGCAGACGGACCGCCACCAACAACGGAGCAGGGCATTACCCACATCGACAACAACCAACCACTCAGCACATCGCCCGATCACGACCCCCCAGCCCATACATCCTAGATGTATGGGCTGCGGGGTCTTGAACGGGCGGTGAATGGGGATGTGGGAATACCCGGCAGTCTCACTGTAGAGGTAAGCGCACATAGTGAGGGCTCCCAGCGTCGGCAATCGCCTACAAACAATGGGCCCAAACTTACTCCTGCTGCTATGAGACCAGTCCAGAGCGAAACCGCAATCGCATTCAAGTTCTCTTGGGAGCGCTGCTATGGCGTCAGCCTGGGAAACTTTTTTGGCGCGACTACGAGAACGGAGGGTCGATCTCGCGCCAGGGCCCCCAGGTCGGCATGAAATTATGAATCGTTCAAAGAATATGTGGTGTTCGAGGGGGGATCCAATCTTACAGGTTTTGAGGTCATGACATCCACCGCTGACGGAAGCCGCTGGAAAGTCCCAGCACCGACCCAAGTGCTATACGCACCCGCAGCAGATCCAGCTAAGCCACCACCTACGCAAAGGGACGCGACACCACCACACGAGGGCACCCCGTCACAGGCGGACGTCCTGTCCCTGATGGCAGACGGCAGGAACTTTTGCATGGGAGGTAAGCAATAAGGTCAAGACACCATTCCCCAGAGGAATTTCCCTGCCAAGCCACCGCCGGAGCCCGTCCCACCGAACAGCGATGGGAGCTACCCAGCGAACAGCACGTCAGCCAGGTCACCAGCCGAGGTCCGCTACAAGCCACCACCCGCAAAGGAAACTACGGGAGCACACACTGCATCAAGCATGGCCGCTATCTACGAGGAGGGGCCCGACACCTGTTGCGGAGCCGCACGTTGGCATCCGCTCAGGCACAACCACAACCGAGCTCCAGCACGACGTCATCGGGCGCTTGACCAATAGCATCAGCAGCATCCAATACGACCATCCTACGCCGCTGTTCCAGATACACGTCAACTAACTGACCAAGGAGGCCATCACGGAGATCAGCGACCCTGAGGCGACATACGACTGGAACACTGCCCAAAACTCGTACGACCAGGTGATAGCCTATTTCTCCAGATCGCTGGACAACTACTTGGGCGAGGCTGCCAACCCACCTGCCCACGCGTTCGGGATGACGGACAAACAGAAGGGCCTGGCGCAGCGCTGCAACATGATATCATAAGGACCTACGAGTCCTTGCAACGCAAGGATGGAGCGTGGGGACATCCTCACCTACATCAAGCTGGGAATACGCCAGAATCCCACGGGCATACCAACGCCGCTCGAAACATCAGCTTACCAGAGGGACATTGCCAACCACATGACCGAAAAAACGCACGATCTGATCAACAGCCAGGACGCCGCACCACCAGAATACCCAAGGGGCCAGCCAACGCGACCAGGTCCAGACGACAAGGACGACCCACCCGACCACGGACACGCCCCACGAGACAGCACTGCACCAGCACCCACGACCTGCAACACCGCACCCCAGCAGGGGACGGAGCACGATCGAGATAAGAGCCCCACCCCCGGGACCCCCAGCCATAACAGCTACCACAGACTTCCAACAGCCGACATCTCACCAGAGGGATGCTCCTGACGATGGCCTCGAGAGCGGCCAGCCAACGCCTACGCGAGATGCTTCAAGCATCGCCACTGGGAGGCATCGCACCGCGGCGCTCGCCCGCAACTCGAATCAAGATCACCGACAGCACAGCAAGCCCAACGGCGAAGATGCCATCTGCGACACCAGGCACCCCGTCGTCCGCTCCGACGGCCCATTCCTCCCTCGCAGTCAACAAATTTTGCTCCAACGACAGCTAACGATCGAGGCGTCTTCCAAGATGGACACGACCAGCTGCTCCTTACCCGCTCCCGACCTCGGCACTACTCTTTTGCCAGACCGCCGCACTCACTGTCTAGACAGCAGCAGCCACAGCTGGGCACACATCTCAATCTCAAATTTCCTAGTCTCGGGACAATAGCAGCACTCCCACCTGTCTCACTGGCACATGCGACGACGCCCACACATGGGTCTGCAGTACGGCAGCTACATCAATGGCACGCTATACTACAGTGGGTCCACAACAGTGGCCTCCCACCCACTCATGCTATGCAGACCATACATCGGGCGAAAGCAGTACTCCCACCTCTCTTATTGGCACAGGCGACGGCGCTCACATCATGGCCAGCACACGGCGGCTACATCAACGGCACGCTATGCTACGCAGCGCGCCCACAATACTTGCTTCCTCACTCACGCAAGCTATGCGGACCACACATCGGGCGACTGCAGCACTCCCACCTCTCTTACTGGCCCATGCGACGGCCCTCACATCATGGTATGCACTTCGGCGGCTACGTGAACGGCACGCTGCCCCAATGGGTGCACACGAATGGCTTCCTCGCCCGTGCATGCCATGAATAACCGGGTGCCGGTCAGAGGGATCTCTGCCAGCCTCCACTCCCTCCTGGGGTCTTCGACGGGGTTGCGGATCTTCCTTTTTGATCGAAATTCCGCCTCGTGCCGTTGTCGCACTGGCCTGATTCCAGGCCGTCCGCGGCTGTCAGATCGGTACCGAGCACGCCCAGTGCAAAGCTGTCGTCGAGCGAGAGGGCCGCCTTCCCGCATATGGCCCCCCTGACCCCCGCCGTTCGACCCGCGAACCCTCCCCTACACCCTCCCTGTTGCGGAGGGACGGCGGGGCGGGACTGCACCCATGGGGAGGGCGGGACACCGGGGATCCCTCCGACGGCTGTCCTGGCCAGGGCCACGGCGGCCGCGGCGCACAGGCACCACGACCTGCCACAGGGGTCCACCGGCGCATCCAAATCCAGGCCCTTTCATCATTACTCCTCCCCCTCCTCCCCCTCCTCCTCCATCCTCCCCCTTCCCCTCCCCCTCCTCCTCCTCCACCTCCTCCTCCTCCTCCTCCTCCTCCTCTCCTCCTCCCTCCTCCTCCTCCTCCTCCTCCTCCTCCTCCTCCTCCTCCTCCTCCTCCTCCTCCTCATCCTCATCCTCATCCTGCTCCTCATCCGAGGCTGATCCAAATCCAGCCATCCTCTTACGCTCGCCTAACTTACGCCTGCAGCAACCTTGACTCCTCTCACCGTGGGCGTGGGCGCCGGGAGAGCACGGGGGAGGCGGCGGACAAATAACTACCGCGGCCGCCACCGCGGATGGCGCAAACCTGCGCCTCCCCACTGAGCACCTGGACAGGCCACCCACACTCATCAGTCCAGCTGCACAGGCAAAGCCACACGTCCGCGCGCAGCCACAGCAACTGCAAGCATTATGGTGCTCGCTAGATCAGATACGGAGCCGCCGACAGGGCGGCCTGCCTTGGAGCAGCGGTACAGACGAGGCAACTTGCCCCCGACTGCCGCGGCCAACAGGCCAGCCTTTAGCGTCTCTACCGATCTACTTCCTTCACTTAACCGCCGCACGCCTCAGCTGCCTACCGAGTGCACGGCTGGCCGACCTGGCTTTAGCCAGG